AATTGTCTCCCTGTGTGGTGGCAAAAGTTTGAATAATAATAATAGGAATAAATTATTGGACGAAAAGAGGGTATCTATGTGTGTTCCTTTTCGAAACCGCACAGAGCACGCTGTAGACTCTGAGGAGCAAGGATATTGCGTTACATACAGTATAACTATGCAATTATTATTGTAGCCTGTCATCTCTACGTCTAGTCAACCTCTATGAGACTATGAATAAAGTAGGCCTACTAGAGAAAAAGAAGATAAAGATGAGGAGAAACAAAATATATCACTGGAAAAAGAAAGTGGCGCTGAGTGTTAGCAGTCGGGTCTGCTCCTGATAAATCGGTAGAAAATAATCTTTATTAATCTGTAGCAAAAAGGTTTTGTAGGTAATTAAAATGATCCCATTTGTTAATCATTAGTCACAGTGTATGCAAATGTAATCCCTGTCTAGTCTACAACAGGATAGGGAAAAGTGGAAAGTGTTTGTTAGAGGTCTATATTAGGGCTGGGCAATGAGTCGCTTTAGCAAAAATCCAGATAATATGTTAGTGGACCTCTTCGGCAAATAATATGACATGAACCGCTTCGGCAAATGGGTTAGAACCACTTTAACAAACTGGTTACACCCACTTCGGCGAACGAGTCAGGCAAGAGAGTTAAAGAGTCTGAATTCGGATAATGTTTCATTGAGAATTATCCGGTTACCCTTATAGATTATCCGGATTTTGCCCACCTCTAGTCTATATCCTGACCCAGGGTGAGGAACGCAATGTTGATGAAAGCAGGAATATCACATCGGTCCTAGTCCTAGCCGTCCTGTTATTGTCGCCGGGGAGCACGGCCACAACTTTCACTAAAGGGAGAAAGTAAGTTGCCCTATTGCTGAAAGCTAAGTTTTTACTAGGATTAAGTCCATTGCGCTGTTGACGCTGAAACCAAGTGGCCGAACCTTGCAGTCGAAATTAAATTGTCTACGGTCACCAGTCATGGAGAAGTACAGTGGTAGTCTAATGGTCCGGTTACACGTATCGATAAATCAACAGGTGGACGCCTTACTAAACAGTTTCAGTATTACGAGGTCTGTCTCCGAATAAAGTTTCCCTGTCATGCTGTCCTCACATGATATAATTATAAATCACCTGGTATTTGGAGTGAACAGAAAGCCTATTCAAAAACCTATTCAATGTAGGAACCATTAAGTTCAAGATTTCTCCAGTTGATGTATACGCGCAGCGGTCAAAGACAGTGGTCAGTGGTCGTTTATCCAAAGTCCGGAGTGCTTTTCTCATAGCCTCTTGAATCTGGTCCTCGTCCTCAAATCGCCGACCTCGCAGCATTTCTTTCACCTTGGGGAAAGGCTGGAAGTTGCATGGGGCGAGATTGGACGAATAGGGCGGGTGTTCCAACAATTCCCACGAGTAGCCCTCAAAAAGCTCGTTCACAACTCTGGACTTGTGAACAGGCACGTTGTCATGATGCAGGATGACACCGTCTTCAGGCAAAGCGGGTCTTTTTTCCGAATCGTTGGTCGCAGCTTGTCTTTGAGGACGCGCCTGTAGTACTCACCATTGACAGTTACACCAGGCGTGACTAGCCAGCTCAGAAGTATGATGCCACTCATGTCGAGAACCCCCCCCCCCCCCCCCAATGTGCGTCACCTTTCTCTGCCTGTGTTTTCTGTGTGCACTTCATCATTCACGTCAGGCCTGCCACCTTCAACCTCCCTGATCCATTTCCTTACTGTTTGAATTTTAAAGAGGCATTATTTTCTTTTACTTTGAGTAGATCACCACGGGTTTCAGACTTGACAAGAAGAGTTGAAAATTTGATCACAACTCGGACATCGTAGCAAGAGAGAGAAGGTTACACCAATGTTTTGCTCTGCCATTTTCCTCGAATTTGCCTTGGACAAAGTGCACAAGAACACCGCACTTGACACGTCACCAATGCACATGCAATTTGGCGTTGAGATTTCTTATACATAATGTCATTACGTTACAAAATGTAGTGGCTGTCGGTTGCGTACTTTTGATTTTATGGAGGAGGGAAACTTTATTCTGAGAAAAACCTCTTACGTTAAAAAAAACAGGAACCCCCCCCCCCCCCCATATGGGAAGTGGTCGTTTTTACAGGAGATCGTGTCACGCTAGTGGCCGCGAGAGCAAGGGAAAAAAAGACAAACGGTGAGACAGAAACAATAAATGGACCCTAAAGAAAATAAGTAGGACCAACCAGTATAGCAACCTTCACTGAACCCTCCAAATATGTGTTCAAAATGTACTGGTATAATTAATTATAAGAAAGAAGAAGCGAACCACAACGTCACAAAAGCGCCCGCTAACCACACACGAGATCAGATGAGAGAGAAAGGAGAGGGGGTATTTGAAGACCAGGAGCAGGTGGCATTCCATAAGATTAAAAGTAAAAGCAGGGCAGAGAAAGAGGATGTATATTTTTTCAGTAAAGAAGAGAAGCACATCGACTCAATGACGGTCATTTAGTGCTGAGGAAAATGTAAGACAGACAGGGAAAATAAAGAGGTAGGACCTACCAGAGGCGCCCTCCCCCCCCCCCCCCCCACCCCTTCCCCAGCCTGAGGAAGAGACATTTGAGCATAGAAGAAATTTTGACACCACATAATGCTATTAATACGCATTCACATAATAGTCGAAATTGTCAAACTCCCACTTAATGCCACGGAGAAAAGAGGTTGTTTTAGTAGACACGTGGACGTCCTGGGCTGTGTCTTTATAAATAACATTGTACATGTCAGGGAACAAATGTAAGGCTGTCCCCGTCGGATTATGGGATTGGGCGCATAATTTAGCAACATTTGCATACTTTAAGATTCCCCGTGTATTTACTCGGTTTTTTTTTCGGTTTTTTTGGGGGGGGGGGGCATTTTGTCACAAAACAATGTAATTAACCGAACACCTCACCGTCTGACTAAAGGGAAGTAGCCACAGTAAGTAATAAATCTCATTTAAGTGATAAGTTGGTTACTTCCCTTGTTAGAAAATCTTCGGAGTTGGGGGTTTTAATATTGGGGATTTTGTTCCGGGGTTTTAATATTGGGGATTTTGTTCCTTGAGCTTGTTCAATTTTTCAATCCATCAAAAGTTGTTCTCATGTCTGCTGATGTTTCATGTTTGACAGGTGTCCCTTCTTTTAGTGACGTGCCAGCATCAGAGATCCAAATATCTTTTTTTTTTTTCTTTTTAAACATTTTTCTTCCCTTTATTCTATATAGCTGGAAGTTACAAAGATTATATTTTTTGGTTGTTCTTGTCTGACTGATGTGTATTGTTTTCTTTCCAAATGCACAAAACATTACTGATACTGACATGCCCAGCTTTCAATTCTTCTGTTTATAAAACATGACAATTCTTGTTGAAAAAGAGCAAAACATGTCATGAATGGCGTCACGGTAACTAGCATAATTTTGTGTTTTTCTTGCATAATTTGGCCAACTAAATTTGCATAATTCTGAGGGGACAGGTAAGGGGGCAGGGTGGGAGGGGGATGAATGGGAAATGTACAGGCGATTGTCTTAAGTGGCCGTTACAGCAGGTTCAACTGTAATGCATGTAGTAAAAGTACTCATAGAGGGACATCGGGTACTTCTTCATTTTAGAAAATTGATCTGCACAATGGAAGTAGGTAAGAGCTGGAGAGAAGACACAGTAGAGATACAATAGGCCTGTAGTGTACAATTTACAAACAAAAGATGTTACATAGAATCTCTATACCTGTGAGCTTTAAGGTTGTGGCATGTGAGAGGCACTCCACCAGTGGGTGAGCTGTGCTCCTCCCTGTTGGTGGGATAGCCTATCATTCCTAACCGCGGCCCGAGCCTGCTTACTTGGTGGCAGCGAAGTGCCAAGGCGCAAAACACCAAACATATTTTCATATGAGTAGGAAAATGAGAGAAGGGAAAGAAGCGGAACCAACTTCCTAACAATCCGATCAAGTCTGTTTATGTTCTATTATAATATCAATTGCATGTATTATAATAAGGATTAACCCTCCCCATGCTACAGACAGGGTCAGTGATGTTGTAAGTGAATGTGGATGTTTTCCATTTCAATCACTATTGACACAATTTTGATCATTTAGTAGGTGGCGAACCAATAAATTGGCAAAAAGATTATTAATCCGCATACAGGAAAAAGAGGCTAAAACAGCACCTGGACATGGATGGCTGGTGCCTCTATAAATAAATCATTGATGGTCAGGTCAGGTTACTAGGTGGCGGACTGCTTCGACTTCGACCCTGTGTCAGGACAACCTGGGCTGGAAAGAAGACGGAGACACTCGGCTGAAAAAAAACCCACCCCTCCCCACATAGGAATCGAACTCGCTACGACAGCAAAGCGCTTTAAGTGTAGATGCTGATGTAGGAGCAGTTGTTCATTTGGTTGGCAAAAAGAAATTAAGAAAGTTCAAATTCGAGCGAGATATGAATTTTGCCCCACCTTTGAGGAGCGTTTTCTCCTCTAAGCCGACTTTGCTTAGTTTGTTTGAGTAAAAAGAAACACATGGACACAGTAATCGTCACGTAGTGAAGAGGAAAAATCAAGACAGGTGGGCAGAAACTACAGAGGGAAAGTAAAGTACCGTAGTAAAACCAACCAATGGTGTTATCCAGCCACCCACTCTTCGCCCAATGTAATATATATATATATATATATAAATACATGCATGCACATTTTGAAATAGTGTGCCGTCATCAAAAATACAAGTTATAATGAGTCCAGTGATACTATTAAAATCTAATAATATATTTTCAATAAAAACATACAGTTGCAAATGAAAACAAAAAAGGTCGACTGTGTAATTTGGCTCCCTGACCAGATTTATTTAATTAAAAACTGAAAACAACAGTAAACATTATTTGTTTTAAAACGTACCAAAAAAATGAAAGACAATAGCAGTAATACACAACATCTATTTTGACTAATTAAATGATCAAACATTACAAACTAATTATGAAGTTAACCATATATATTTATTGAGACGATGGTCTGATAATATCACTTAACTTGTTTCTGATCTTAGTTTACTAAAATTAAGTCAAAATGCTCCACAAATTTTATGGGACATCAGAGCGTTTTTTTTCTTTTATTGGTTTTTTTTCCCCCCACAGTTTTAGACACTTTGTATTAAATAAAGAAAGTTTTAAGACCATTTTAAATGAAAAATATATACAGTATGAAGCTTCAAGGTTTTAATCTGATGAAATAAAAAAAGTTTGTTTGAGTTTTAGCTCAAGAGAAGAACATAGGTATACTAATTACAAAACATAAAATGAAATGAACAGAGCTTTAAGATTTTATTTGATGTAAATAGGAGCTTTAAAATCTGTATATTATTTTGATCCTTCAAGACTCTTGTCCCATCATATCTAGATCTAAATCAAATAGGCCTTGAAAAAGATAATTTTCTAATAAAACTAAAGTTTTAAACTTTGAAAGAGTCTGTTTGATGCAAACTGAACAGGACCTGAATACCTGAAGACTTGATGTCTCTGAACAAGGCTAGCCCTTTGTTTAATAAAACAGGTATTAAAAATAATTAAGCATTGCACAGGGTTTGAACATTTTGTTTGACGTTTAGAATGCTGTTTGCAGATTCTGTTTGTTGATAGAGAGAACAGGGTCAGTGAAGATTTTTTAAGGTAAAATAAAAAGATCTTGAAAACTTTATCTAATTTAATTGATGGTGAGAAAGGAGTACATGTACAGTATCTTGAATCATTGATGTCAAGATCCATCAAAACAAAATACAGTGACAAGAGATGTCCAGTGAACTATTAATGGGACATAGAAAACCCCTCATCAATTGCACTACAACAATAATTTCTGGAACACCATGTAAGAACATCATGAAGTTACTCTACTCTGTATCACCACTCTATCACTGGTGCTGGATCCTTGTTGGCCTGTTAATGTAAGCCATGGAAAATAAAGTAGGCTTGTGGTACATTTGTATCACTTTCATGCAGAAAGTGATAAAATTTGCCAGCAACATACTTACTCGTGTACAGCTCACCATGAAAACATGATGTACAAAATCAAAACTCAATTTTAAGGGGGGCAGCAGCTGAAGGCTATCTCGTTTATTAGTGGATCCAATGCTACCAAATTTCACAATATAACAAGAATAGTAAGGAGTCTTAAAATCCGCATTCAAATTTGAGGGAAAAAAATTTGTTTCCAAGGATACAGTGGCCATATTGGATTTTTGTGACATTTCTTACGTAATTAATACTACATTTATTTTTTAATGGATATAAATTGGGATTTTGTATGCATCTTGGCAAACAATAGATCTACAAATCTGAGTGATGAAATTTTCCTAAATGGACTAGAAAATGAAGTATTCACGTTTGCAAAAAATCAGAGAAAATCCACGATCCAAACACTACCAACAAAAAACTATTCCATATATATATATAAAAAATTCATCAAATAAAGTTTTAGTATTACATCTTTTCTTCATTCTGTGAAAATTTCATGAAGATTGGATGAAAAATGGTGGAGTTGTTTAAAAAAGTATACAGAAAAAAAACGTTTCAAGAAAACGAGCGATAAAGAAAAATAAAAGATGAACTTTATGAGGAAATGGTGGTGACAAACATGCCTGATATGCGAAGAAATATAAGGCTTTATGGGGTTCTTATATGATGAAATAGTTGTAAGAGAGGCTGAAGAAGTTAAAAATGCCTACAACTTAAACTTAAAATCTATAGTTTTGAGCTGAATCGGGACTTTCGGGGTGCCGCTGCCCTCCTTAAAAAGAAAGATACACATATATATGACATTTTATGCAGAATTCAATTCTCAAATCATCTACAGAAAGACAAAGGGGTGTATTATTTTAACAGTAAGGTGCAGACTGTAAGAAATTGTCATAAAGTCTACGTACTACTACAAGTTTTTTCAAAGCTAACATTAGAAATATTATATGTGTCACGACCGCGGGGGGGGGGGGGGGGGAATTTTGGGTGGGCATGTGGAGTTATAATAAAAAAATTTAATTATTTGCCTTGCTTTAAATGAAAAACAGAACCATCTGTCTTGAATAGAAGTCGAGATATTTGCAATTGAAGGAGGTGGGGGTCAGTGGTGAATTAACGAAAAAAATGGCCTCCAAAATTCGGTAACTTCAAAGATGGCTTGAGAGTCTTTTTAAACTGAAATATTACATATCTTATGCCTCTCATCAACGTTTTTCTGTGAAATTCACAGGGAAATGTGTGTTTTATATGACATAAAACGTGTTGAGTAAAAGAATAAAAATTCGATAAAAATTGCCAAACTGGTGGAAAAATGCCTTAGATTTCTTTGATTACATTATTTTGACTAGCGCCTGTTTTCACCAAGATGACCGACATATTATAACACCTAAATTATAGCAACAAGAAAAAGAAAAAAATATTGAGATAATTTTGTAAATCACAACATTTTCTTTCTTCCTGGAACATTGAGACCCCTGAGTATGAAAGAACCAGCATGCCTAAAATGACATAATTTAGAAATTTAGAGATCATGGGTGGGGGTACAGCTTTTTCAACTCAGCCTGCCATGGTTAGTCCAGGTTGGGTGGGCACTTCTCCACAGAAAGATGGAGGCACCCAAAAGAATTTCTCCTCATTGCCTCTGACCAACATGACTCTATGACTGTGTTTGAGAGCATTATTTTTCTGCTGGATAGGCAATTTTTATAGAATTTTTTTTTTTTGACTCAATACCCTTTATGACTATTAAAGAATATTCCCTGTGTGGATTTTATTGAAAAATGTTGATTAAAAACACAAAAAATGTAAAATTTCAGTACCCAAGGACTCATTAGCTGTTGAAGTTACCAAACTCAGGCCGCCATCATCTTGATAAGTTTACCTCTAAAACCAGGTGACCCCCACCTTCTTCAATCAGAAATACCTCGACCTCTATTCAAGATGCATGGACAGTTTTTTCATCAAATGCAAGACAAATGAACACGCTTTAACTTTAAGATGATATCATTACCTCCAAATGGCCAAAAATTGACAAGCGCCCGATTCCCCACGCCGTGACACAAATGAAGGCTGAACAAATCATGTCGTGTAAAAGTCAAGGTATAAATCGTGTTAAGTCACAACACTTGATTGCAGTAGTTGAATGCCATGAAAATCAGTCACAATCATTATAACGATGCACAAAATTAAATCAATACGAAGGTATACAACCCTGGCAAGGAAAAAAAAAATCTAAATTGGAAATTAAAGAAATAAAGGCAAAACAATCATTTAAAAAAGCGAAGAAAACATCTGGTAAAATGCCAAGTTAAATGTAATCTTCAGCTTCAATGTAGAAAGATGAGCAAAATAACAACAAGGCAAAAAAGAACGTCTTTAGCAGCTTCCCCAAATAGAATGTGCAGGTTCGGCCAATGTCAATCTTTTTACCTTTGCAATTTTCAATTCTTAAAACAACAATTTCAGTAATGGACAAAAAAAATAAAGACAACCTGATTTTTTAAAATGACATTGTACATATAGAACAGCATTCCCCTCGGGGCACACCAGTGGAATTTTTAGTAGCAGCGATGGTTCTCTGCCTAGCGCCTTATCACGTCGAGGTCACAGGGGTCAGCTCCCTGTTGCCGCTCCGTCTTGGCTGACTTAATTTTGGGTAGGCTACTTTTCAACTTAAAATTTCAGGTGTATTCTTGCATATATGGTAATTATTATTTATTGCATTCAAAGCACGCATTTCTGCTCGAGACGCAAAAAAGGACGGACATTGTAACTTGTCTGGTTATTTCGTAAGATGCGCTGAAGTCGGCATTGCTAAATTGAGAATTTTTAGGACAAGTGTGTATGAAAAAAAATGTATTGAAAAAAAAAAACGGCTCGACAAAAAATGAGAAACTTTTGAAATATGAATGACATAACATTGTGATGGAGATACTCAGAAAAGATCGTATCTGCACAGATAATACAAAGCTGTAATTTTACGACACTATCCATCGGGAACACAATTCGCTAAGAAATGATTCCTCCACATACAACTTCATGTGTCTAATACAATTCGCATATTTTCTTGAAATTTTATAAAAATGACCCTGTAGTCTCTCTATGAACAAGTAGTTAGTTTAGTTTTAGTAGAGGTTTTACGCGCTCGCAACTGCATAAGGTCATATGAGCGCCCAGGGGCAGATGTCAACAGAGAAGTCCTTACAGGGAATTCAATCAGACTTACTCTACTCACCTCTCTTGCTTGAACAGCACAAAGACTGCTTCGACTATCAAGACACCCCGGAAATAGTGCGTCACAAGAGTGTGACAAACATACAAAAGAAGTAGAGGAAAAAAGATAATAGTAAAGATTAGGAAAAAAAAAAGGAGCAGTTCCCTGTTGTAGATCAGGCACAGTTATGAGCGTGACATTGATGAATCAGTCCATTTACAATTCTACTGTGCATGAACGAGAAATGTCCCCCCTTTGGGAATGGCCTAAAGACTTGTGGGTTTTTTTTTAAAATCGAAAAATAAATATATATCTTTCTTAGTTGTATGTAGGCCGCCACAGGCACAGCGTGATTCATGAACATACGCAGAGGGCTTTTCTCTTGTTAATGGTAAAACAAGAGCCAACCCTGAGTCTTCAGTCAAAAAATTCAGATGTGCATCTTTTTCTCTTATAACTTGACTATTATTACTACCTGAGCAGATTTAAGATTTCTCAAGGTAAAAGAAATGGTATTCCTTGTCAGTTTAATACAGATTTTGGAAAGATCTGTCGAGCCATTATCAAATAAACAATCATTTATTTATAAGTATGTAACTAAAATAGGACAAATTGGGTACTCTACAAACACTTGTCTACAACAAAAACTAACGAACAGAAATCAACCATTTAAATGCAGAATAAATCTCAAGACATTGAGCTTCTAGTACATCAGTGTAATGGTTCGCTGTGTAGGATGGGGAAGAAGTTATATAGTTTCATTCATAGACAAAAATGTGAACTTCTTATCTGACACTAGCAGTCGTTTCAGGGTTCATTAACCCTGTGACCCTGAGCCTGGGAGCTCCGACGGGATGCTGAGTCAAGCTAACTAAAAGTAAAAGTAACAGAATCGAGTGAAAAGTGATGCTGTGTCCCTGTGAAAATCAGGGCAGTAAGCTCACCAAGTACTTGCTGCGATTGAGAGAAATCAAACAGTGCCACCACTCAAAACAAATCAATAAAAAAGGATGATTAGATATTTTGGAGCTATAAAAAAAGAAAGAAAAAAAAAGACAATGAAGATTTTTTCTTCGCTCTTCAATCAAAAATGGAACAGACAGAAATGCACACAAATGCAGCAATTTTTTAATTAAAGTTGAAGTGCTTCTATGGAGAGAGAACAGAGAGAATAATACTTTAAAGTCTTCTTTTAAAGGTGATTTGGCAGCAGTACCTGTATCACTTTGAGGGCCCCAAAACATTCCTTCATACTAACATAAAAGCAGAAAAACTATGTGATACAATACAACAAACATACAAGCATATTTCTAACTACTGCTTCACATGAGCACAGAGCGAGGGGAGAGGTTGATTGTGAGGAACCAAAAACGTCCCGGGACCTGTCAACAATGGTAAGACTTCTTCCAAATCCTTCGCCACAAGCCTTTCAGCATCATTGTCCTCATGTGAGAGTGGGTGGGGTGAGATGTGTGATGACCTTTGGACAGAGGTAGTGAGGGTGGACAAGAAATGATCTGATGCTTGAGACTTGAGCTTTCGTTTATAGCTGGAGCCTCCACGTGTTTTGTTTTTGTACTGAAGCAGATATTCAGCAGCATCGTCTAAATTTTTGTGCTGGGTCTCCACATGGGACTTTAAAGAGTTGCTGTGTCGGAATTTTTTGCTGCAGTGCTGGCAGGCATAAGGGAAGCTGTTGTTATGGATAAGTAAATGCCGCATAAAATTTGCCCGGTGACCGAAGGCTGCAGGGCAGATCTCACACTTGTACCGTTTTTCACCAAAATGCACGACGCGGCGGTGAGCAGCCATGCTGGGCTTTTGATTGAAACCCTGACCACAGAGATCGCATAAGTATTGTTCCAAACGAAGACATGATGGCATGTGTCTCTTTAGAGCACACTGTGTTGGGAAACGGTCGCCACACTGCTCACACACAAACTCTCTTGTCTCCGCGTGCACGGTGTGCAGGTGCAAAGTGACTGCCGAAAACCGTGAAGCGGTGAACTTGCACCCTTCCACACTGCAGAAAAACGGTTTCGGTGCCATATCCTGGTGAGTGGTAGCAAAGTGATTCCTAAGTTCCTTCTGAGTTTTCGCCAGGTACAGACAGATCCGGCATCGAAGGATGTGCTGCGCCTCATGTATGGTGTTCACGTGACGCGTCAGGTGCTGCCGTACAAAGAACACGCGGTCACACATTTTGCAGGGGTATGTGGGATGGTTCAGCACGTGTTCATTGAGTTTGTACTCGTCATCAAACTGCAGCGAGCACTTGTCACATTTGTACGATATCTTCCTCTCACCATTCAGGAACAAATCTAAGTCAGTCTTCACATCCTCTGCCAGCACTGAGTCCACACTGGTTTCTTCTGATGTCTGAGATAGGGAAAGAATACACACAGATTATTTGTTTGTCTCAGTAAGCATTCTACGGCATTTGCAACACAATTAGGTCATATAAGAAGTGCTGAAGATTAGAGGGGCTACAACAGAGTAAAAAGTTGTTCCCGCATCCGATCCGGACATTGGGGATTGCCTTACTTCCTAGGCCTTCGGTATATTATGAGGGTGACCAGTTTCTACATATATATATGTTATAGAATACACTGAAGCTGCTTTTAAATTACCATAGTAAAGATTTTAATTATCTAAATCGGGAATACTTTGTGTCATGGGTCTTTAAAAAAATTAAAATGACATGGCACAACATGCAAGTCCTAAACTTTGTGTTTTGGAAAAAAATGCTTTAAACACAAACTCCCTAGTAGGAAGCTGAATCAGCATCTATGGTATTGGTATTAGTCTGTTTAAATTCAGAAGGTGTAAATCCAGTAGGCTACATGCTATCATTGGGAATTTTTTTATAGCGCACATATCTGTCCACAGAAAGATATCCCTCTTACTGCTCTCAGCCCAGGTTGACCCTGACAAGCAGAGTCAAAGCAATCTGCCTCCTAGATTATGATTATGTGAAAGCGCGTTTTAAAATTTCAATCGAGGAACTGAAAATGGTGGCTAAAATAAGCATCCATGTTAAAATATCTTCATGGGCCCAAAAAAATGAACGAACTTTAAAACACAAACAAAAGAAACATTATAAGTAAAAAAAAAAAAGAACAATGGTATTTACTACAAAAATCTACTCTCCTTCATGAATGTTCTTACCTGTACAGGTGTTACCATGCTGCCATTCTTAGAAATTTCTGTAGTCTCTTTGATCCCCTTATTTGCTTTCTTTTGGCTTAACCCATCTGATCTTTTCTGCTTTCTCACCACATTGTTGTTCATTTTAAATGAAGCTTGAGGTTTGGAAGAGCCTTTTGCTAAATGTTTTTCATTAAGGGGAGAGAATGTGTTTACATCATGTTCAGCTTCAAGCAACTTAACAGGCAGACCACATGCTGTGTCTTCATCCTCACATGAGTCCACCATCTCTACTTTGATCAAGTCTTTCAAGTCTCCAAGAGACATACGAGGACTCGGGTCATGCCCATCTAAGTTGTCCATTGTGACAATAGTGTGACTAGTGGATGGCCCAGAACCCTTTTCCTCAAATGTCTCACAATTTCCTTCTTCCATAACCTTGGGCATTACTTGCTCATCTCCAATCTCTTTGTTTTTTGCTTTAATCTCTGTGCTGGGCAAAACTTCAAGAGAAACTTGTGGAATATCATTATGAACACCTGACTCCTCCTCCATGACAATTGCCTTCTCTGTAAAAAGCCTGAGAGACTTTTCCTCAACTGGGTGTTTGCCTTGTTTCTTTCGTTTGATGATGTCTTGCAAATCTGAAAGACAAACACGAGGAAGCATGTGATCCACATCTGACATATTTCCTACAAACTTCTTGTTGGTCAATGTTTCTGCACAGTTCTCTTCAGCCGTTCGTCTTAGTTGTTCAACAGCTTGCTTCAGACACTTTTTCTGTACCTTACCCAACCGTAAACCTTTGAGAGACATGTCAGGATTCTTCCTGCTAACACCCATTTCTCTTACTGAAGCAATTGTTTCCTTTTTCAACAACTGGATACATTTCTTTGTGACTGTACCATTCAACTGTTTTTTCTGTGCCTTCCGCTTTGACGTACAATTTTCTTGAGCTATCATTTCAGGTTTAGGCATTGTAACCACTTTCTCTGAACCTTTGGCTTTGAGAAATTCTTCAACAGTCGGGCGGAGGTCCTCCACTTGAAACCAGTTAACAGCAGAGGAAATCTCTTTTAAGAGATCACATGGCGGAGTAAACACGCCACTGTAGAAAGAGGACACGATCACTTCGACCACACTTAAGCTGTGAGGAACATTAATGGAGCGCAGACAGAAGTTGCCTTGCAAAGAGTCTGGCAACATTGAGCGAATTTTGAGACTGAAGGCTGCCATTACGCATGAGTGAACTGCCAGCTGGTTCATACCCATACGTAAAATCAGATCACAGTTCGAACTTTCTTGGAACTGTGCCAATAGGTTGTTGCACAAAATGAGGCTATGATGAGGGATGCGCCAATTGTACTTGGTCGGCCCAAAGCTTGCCGTCTCAGAGGAGGACCTGTGTGAAGAAGTTTTAAAAGTTAGCTCTGTATCAAAAGAATTTGCTGATATTGTGATTCATTTCGAAACTTGTTTCTCTTGCACTTGCGCAGCAACTTAATCTGAATGTGAAAAGTATGAAAAGTAGGCTTATGGCTGTTATCAATTTACAATTACAATATTATCTGAGCGGGGTATTAGAGTTGTTAACAACTTAACCCTTTGTTGCTAGGGGATGCATTCCTACAGCCAACAATGCCGATTTTCAGAGCAAACTCGTGACATAAAAGACCCAGGGTCTTCAATAGTGTCACAAGTTTCCTCTTTCCCTCCGACTCACCCATAATCAATAATTTAGAGAAAAAGTTTCAAATATATCTAAGTAAAATAGTGAAATTTGTTGCCAGTTTAGAGTCTTTTCGGGTGGTGTTCACGTCTTTTTTAGTTTTAGTAGAGGTTTTACGGCGCTAGCAACTAATAAGGTCATATGAGCATCAAGGGGTGGATGTCAACAGAGAGATCCTTACAGGGAATCAGACTTACTCTCCTCACCTCTCTAGCTTCAACAGCACAAAGTCTGCTTCAACTATCAAGGTACCCCGGAAATACATGTAGGGGGTCACAAGAGTGTGACAAACATACAAAAAAAGTAGACGAACAAGATGATAGTAAGGATTAGGAAAGAAAAAGCAGCAGTTCCCTGTTGTAGTTAAAGCACAGTTATGACTTATGAGCATGACATTGTTGGATCAGCACATTTACAATTTTACTGTGCATTAGAACGCGAAATGTGTCCCCTTTGGGAATGGCCTAAAGACACTTCAGTCAGTGGCACCGCCCCGGGGGTACACCAGTTCGTCTAAAGACAAGTAGACTAGACCCTTGACCTCTGTGTAAGTTTTCTTCTTCTTCTTCTATCCCGTGGTTGGGGCAACCGTGGGGGCACCACTGCATCTGAAAACCAGCTCTCGCCATCTATTTTTGTCTTCTGCTTTCCTCAGATTGTCACTCATCGTTTTTCCTGTCCACTCTGTAATGTTGTCCTCCAATCTCCTTCTCAGCCTTCCTCTCTTTCTCTTTCCTTGTACAGTTCCTTGCAGGACTGTTTTGTCAAGTCCTGTGGATCTTGTGACATGCTCATACCATTTTAATTTTCGTCTCTTCACTGTGGTCAGTAGATCTTCATACTGCCCCACTGCGTTGGTGATTCTCTTTCGTACCTCAGCATTTGAAACGTGGTCTTTGTATGAGATGTGTGTAAGTTTACTCTTTGCTAAAAATTAGACCCGAGAGCTAGGCTTACTTACACATTTTCATGATGGACATTTGCCTACCAGGTACGTCATACAAAATTTTAAAGGGGTATCTCATGCTAGGTAGGGTTAGGACTAAGACGAGGGAACATCAAATTGTGTTGAGATTCATTAGGCTAATGAATTGAATAATTATGAGTAAATAACTTTAAAAAATGCAAAATCGTTACCCATACGTATATAATATACTACCATATAATATACCCGGGGAGAGAATAGAGGTGGCCTTCAAAAATCGTAAGGCAAAATAATTTTTTTTTTCTAAAGTCTACGGACGGCAAATAATCATCTAGATTTTAGATCTAGATATCTAGATATCTAGAATCTCTAGAATCTAAATTCTAATCGATTGGATGAAAATGAAGGGAATCGTTACTGAAGTTGATTTTCTAAGTCGTAAGTTAATGTCCCACTCATGGTTAATCACGGGTAAAAACTCGCAAACACTCGTTTTTAGGGGATGTTTTTCAACACAAAGAGGACATTTTTTAAATTTTAGAATATGTCTTAACCTTGATAACTCCATTGCTGAATCCAAAGACACTGAATTCATACTCAGTAGATCTAGATGCCTTAAAGTGTTCAAAATCGCTTCATATCACTGCAGCAATAAAACGGTTCCATTTCGCCCGATTTATTTATTTATTATTACCGGCGACGTTACTCTCGTTCACGCTTGTTTCAAATTTTCATTCTAGTCTCCCCTTGCGTATCTTCCCAAAGAGGTTATAATAGTACTAGAGGTCGTAGCTGTGACGTCACCTACGTAAACCCATTGTGGCTCTGCGGGCCTACTCGGCTCGCTTTGTTGTTTGTTTTAGTAGAGGTTTTACGGCGCTCGCAACTGCATAAGGTCATATGAACGCCAGAGGATAAGAGGTGTTACAAGAGAGTAACAAACATAAAAAAGAACAAGCGGAGATAAGGATAAGGACGATAGATGTTTGATAGGAAAGAAGAAGCAAACCACACCAGAGCACCCGCCAACCACCCACTCGGCTCGCTTTGTCGTCATTTTTGAGAGGATTAGAAACAGCTCTGTCATTTTGCGCGTCCCTCGCAACGCCTAGTTCTTCGTAGAGTTTGAAGCTCAGTTCAGTTTTATTGTAAGTTTGTTTTTTAATTTGCTATTGTTGTTTAGTCATATTATAACATACACTCATACACACTGCGTACCTGCTGACCGATTGTTGGGGACATAAATCATAAAATTTAAGATGAATGTGGGCTATAAATGAACAGAGATATATAATATGACATATTGTGGGGTGGGGGAGGGGCGGAGGGAGACAAAGCGAGTAATTGAGTTTGTTAGAAAAAGGACAATTTCATACTTACAAAATGGATTGTTTTCAAGTCATATTGTCTACATTTCCCTTCTACTGACGCAAAGCCTAAAATCCGTTATTGTCTCAAAATGAGCAAATAATTGTAGGCTGGGATACTGTAAATCACTCATTGCATGGATCCTGTGTGCACACCCAAATAACGTTGTCTAATATATGGCACAAATAATGATATTATACCGACAATATTTTAAAATGCAACACTTAGATAAAATAGCCAGATTACCTTAAACGTTCAAAATATTTTATAAAATTGACGTTGATTGGCAATGGTGATTGGCTACACAACACCCCATCTTCCATGAACCGCTGCTGCTGCTGCTGCACATGTTGTTTGGCATCGGTTCCGCAAATGAGGCAGAATATTACACCGGTCTTATTGGTGGGTATATTTACACTGGTTGGCTACTTTATATTTTCTCTTCCCAACAACATCGACAGTTAATCTTTTCCATTTAACAAGCCTCAAAGGTGTGCTAGAGTTGCAGCTGAAGCTTCTAGAAGCTTCTCAGTCACATTCCTGATTCCAGAGGGCCGATATACGAGCGCCTTGTCGTGGTAAGCAGTGCCAAATCTAGACATACTGTGTGAGCGACGCAAAGCAAAATATTTCAATAAAGTTATGCTTTTTGTTATAATAAGAGATCGTCAAGTCCATCTCATTCATTTTTTCAGACTTTCACTCACCCATATGGTCTCCCCCGTGCAAAAGACCCTGTTTGCATTATTTGGAGATTATCTGGCTTATTTAAAGATAAACAATCACAAAAATCCCTTTGAGTACATTTTAACGATAGACAAATCGCATGAAAAAGTAATCAACATCAAAGGACTTCGAAGAGTACCATTAATTTGTGATTGAAAAATGTTGCTGTACAGACTGGGCTTTTATTCCTCTCCAGAATGGCGGCTGGCCCCTCCACTTTGACACTTGTGACGTCATAGCTAAACCTCTAGTTCTGTTTATAATATCTTTGGCATCTCCGACAGAATTCTCCCAAAGTGGGGTGGGATGGTTTCTTCACATTTATTATTTTTTCGCACCCTGCCTTTATCGTCCACATTCTATCGACCAATACTTGCGTTTTACTGTTAATGAATGCAGATTTTAATTGATTTTCCCCCGACATATTTGCTTTCATCGCTAACAACTGGCCAAACAGTTGGGCTGAAGGCAAAGAGACCCAGTGTATGACTAGTTAGGGATGCGCGATCAGACAGGCCTATACTTGCAATATAATTAAGAATAGGCCAATAATTGTTGGTCTTCATGAAACGAGTTATCACCGATGCTCATAATTATTCATCACATGAATTCCTTTTTATGATTCTCCCTGGGAAAAGTCCGAACACGTTTTATGACTATGGGCTTTTTTCCCTGGATAAAATTGATTAAGAAAAAGACCCATTGCCACATTTACTCAAATATATTCGGTGTATGGCGCCCCATTCGTCTGATCTATATTTTAGTTAAGAGTTCTATGGCAATCGTAGCACAATTAGATAATTGTTATATAATAAGCTTCGAAAATAAGTGGTGTTAGTGATTCTCGTCTACACTAGTAGAGAATCTTTGGTGTTTGTATTACTATGAGAGAGTACCAGGTACGTAAAAAGAAACCATGTAAGAGAGCTAAAAATGATAACAATAATAATATGTGTTTGATAGGAAGGAGGGAGCAACCACACGTACGAGAGCACCCGTCAACCACCCATGCCCTACTGGACAAAAATCTGTATTGCCTTCCAAAACAAATACCGCACACAATCTTTTTGGCACATCCTGTACACATTGTGTAGGCTGAATCCCCATGGACAGTGGGATAAAGATAATATGCGTGGCGTGCTGAAAAATGAGCTACTTTTCACAATCCACAAATGCGGATATTGGCCAAAAATCGACACTGGAGACACATTTCTAGGTTTTCTATTGATGCAGTATTCATCAAGTACTAAATGCTTTTATTGTTATTTCATACTACAAATTGTTAAAACTTAGCCTATAAGAGTTATAATGTGTCTATTTTCATAGGACTCGAATACGAGAAGTAACTCATTTTGTCAGCACGCTTCCCATATTTGTGAGCCGTTAACTGCTTTCCAATAAACCAATAAATAAAACAAGCCAAGCAGAGTGGATGGTTCAATTTGGTAATGTACGGCTTGGAAAAAATGTCTCCAGTCCGCATGTTACGCCTTTCTTCTTGCCCTCACCGCAGTTTGCCCCTGTAAGTTCAGGACAACAGGACCTCCCACTTGATGCCGAGTTGTACAGTTCACAACAGAATTATGCAATAACTGACACATGTTTTGGAGAAAGACTTGAACATTTTAAAATAATTGTGTATGTGCCTGGAGAAAGGTTACATTTGTTGGACAAGCTATTTTTGAGCTAACAGGGTGAAACGGCCAAACAATTGTCTGGTAAAAAAAAAGGGATAATTCCATAAAAAATACCTTTCTTTTTTGGGGGGGGAGATGTTTAACGGCGCTCGCTACTGCATAGTATTATGAGCACGCGGGACACATTAAACATTTTGAGTAGGTAGGAAATTTGGAATTTTGCCCGGGTGGGGGCTGAAGCCTACTCTTATCGATTTTAGGGCCACCAAGGGATCTTTAACGAGCGCAACTTGCACACGGGATCTCAGAGATTTTTTGCTCTTATCTGAGAAGGCTAGCTGCGTGATCTTAGTCTTACCTACCATAAGATCAGGGGTGTTGATGGAAGACAGATGCGAGGAGGAGCCGAAAAGAAGCAGTTGGAAGGCTTCAGAAAGAGTCAGGAGCCCAGAAGAGGGGGCAAATGGGAGTGGGGGGGGGGGGGGGGCAGAAAGTGGAGACGAAAACAGACAACAGAACATGGTTAGATAGAGAGAAGGAAAGTAAACACACATTTAACTATTTCTTAATGATAACATAATATCGATAAAATTCTATATATTTCAAGTCTAAATATTATTTTTATTAATTATTTTCGCAACATGTTGTACTTCACCAAAGGTTAAAACTGTTCTAGAAATTGAGTCAACATATATCATGTACCAAGGTTAGAGTCGTTTTTGTCCAAACTTTGTTTTTTACACCTCGTGGTATAAAATGTTTACTTACTTACTACCCATTACGCCATCTGGCGTTTAGGGCAGCAACAAGGGATCTCCAACTCTGTCTGTTTTGGGCCATCTTGGTCAGCGTTCCCCACGAATGATTCCAGGACTTCATTTCAGACTCTACTGTGCGTCTCCAGGTTACTTTGGGTCTGCCCCTTTTGCAACGTCCTTCGGGTGTCCAGTGGAGGGCAGTCTTCACAATAGAGTCTGGTTCTCTTCTCAGAACATGTCCAATCCATCTCCATCTTCTCCTTTTTATAATGATGGTCATGTCCTCTTGCCTACAAAATGTGGTGTATCTTTAAATCTAAAACTAATCAAGATATTTGAAAAAAAAAAAAATCAGCCTGCTCAGCACATGCACACATTTATAGAAGCACTGAAAAGAAGAAGTAGAGCAGATCACCAATGGCGCTAACCAACCACCTACTGTCCCCATAACTTTTAGGGAGAGAATCTTGACAAATTTTGCTCACCAAGGAGATATGACAAGGAGCTGAGAAAATAATAATGTCATTGGTTTATATTTTAGTTAGAGCTTTACCAGAGATCGTATTTACGGTCTTTGGTTTTACTGCACTTGCAACACATTTGTGCCGGAGACTAGAGGTGTTACTAAAGAGTAAAGAAAAGGAGGAAGAGAGATAAGGACAACAAATATTTGATAAGAAAGGAGCAAATCACACCAGAGCACCTGCCAACCACCACACAGAAAAATATCAATAATTGTGTGCGTTCGTCTTAAAAAAGAACAAAGAGTACACATTTTTCTCACAATACAAATTGTTTTTATTTGATTGAAAACCAAAAAAAATATTGTACATTTTGCAACAGTCTGCAGACAATTCAGTCTATTTACTTAACGTAAAGACAAAAAACCTCATTTCAAAAGGTGGACGAATATTGCGTGAAATTTGATCAATAGTCGCAAAATAATTAACAGGGCTGTTGAAATATACCACCAAAAAAAAGTTTTTTTAACACACAGTTTAGCTCTTGTTCAAAAGTAATAAGAACAATACGAAGTAAGAGTTGAGAGCGATGACGGTGGATACGTGGCAGTCACATGCTTAATGGCCACAGTAGCATGCCAAGCATACTTTACATACGCCTAATGGCCACTACTGCTAGATATACATGAATAGGCCTACATGCTTCTGTAGGTTTGAAAATCACTAGTGTATATGCCATACATAAAGACGCATTCACCTGATTTTTACATCTGATTGATGTATTACCAGAGAATCACTGG